ATATGGCAGTGTCACCCTTGCCTGATTGGATGCCCTTCCTAATCAACCGCAGTTCAGTGTGTTAACACCTGTGCCACGGCGGTGACTTTCCCTACGATACCTGCCTTTGACTTCTCAAGCCGATATGTCGTTTTCTCGGACTCGAGCAAGCAGTCGGAGCGCAGGCATTTTTACGACCGCTGCGACGGGGAATTGAACCCGGGACCACGAGGGTCGGAGTCCAGTGCTCTAACCACTGAACATATATATATATATATATATATATATATATATATGTGTGTGTGTGTGTGTGTGTGTGTGTGTGTGTGTGTGTGTGTGTGTGTGTGTGTGTGTGTGTGTGTGTGTGTGTGTGCATATATAGTTATGTACAATTAATGTTGTTCTTTGTATTGTTGTCACTTACCATGTATGTCGGTGGAAGAGTACAGACTTTGTTATTTGGATAATCACTTGGGTAATTAGGTGATTGGAAGGAAACGGCATCAGCTGATGTACTAATTGTACAGTCAAAAAAAATATATGTATATATATATATATGCATATATATATATATATATATATATATATATATATATATATATATATATATATATATATGCATATACAAACATACAATATATGTATCTATCTATCTATCTATATGTACACACACATATGGGAGCCGCCGTGGTACAGTGGTAACACGCGCGGCTATGGGCAAGCGCACGGATTCGAACCCCTGCCACGGTCCGACGTTAGGAAGGGCATCCACTCGGGGTAACGGTCTCCACCTGCCAATTTCTGCCTGCCCTTCATGGGGGAAGCCCGTCCTAGCCCTTAATAAGAAGGGGGGTTTCGTGACGTTAAACCGAAATCAATATGCATATGCATACATAGATATTTATATATACACACACACACACACACATATATATATATATATGTGTGTATGTATACTGTGTATTATAACGGTATTATATGCCTGCAGTGGCCACGTGGCGACACGCCCTGAGCGGCGTGCCCACAACGGCTGGGCGGTTCTCCTCGCTCCCCAAGCCAGCGTCTCGGATACTTAAGGCCGCGTTTTGACCGGTCAAGGAGAGTGTGCCTTGGTGCGGTCGAGGTCACGTCTGACCTGGGCTGGGCCGCCAGTGACCTCAGGCGACCCTCCAGCCGACCGCACGATACCCAAGACTGTCATTGTTGTGTTATCCACTGTGTGCTTTCTCTTATCAATAAAGAGATTTGAGCCACTAAGCTTTTAATACTTCCCTGTCACCAATGTTTAGAGGCCTTTAATAACTCTTACATTCTGGTGATAGCGGTGGTAGTTGTGTCCTTTTGGCACACAACTGAATCATCCTCCGAAGAAAACCGCTTGGCTTCAAGCAAACGCAAGATGACATTTCTTCAAGAAACTGTGAGTACACATTTTGGGCGCCTTTCTCTTTTCATTTCTTTTCTATTTTTTCCTAAATGTGTTAGGCCGTGTACAGCCAGCTCACGTTAGTTTTTGGGTTAAAGTGCTAATTGCAGCAATGGCTCGCTCTCACTCTCATCTCATTTTCTTGACCTCACTTCTCATTACTGTCAATCGCGGTATGGAATTAAACAGTATGAGATCGGTCATTTATTAAGCGTCTATTTAATTTTTTTTCGTGATTAGATTATATTGTTTCAATCATGCGGATTTAGCGCGTTCGTGAATTTGTTCTTTCACGAACATTCACTCATTAAATTCATCTCTCCCCATTTCCAGTTTTGACCTGACCTCACGTGAAAGTCATTAAGTCAGCCTGCGTAGACAGCTGGTAGCTCTGACCTGACTTGACCTTGAGTGATCGTCACAGTGATATGGCTGAGAAACAGC